CCCTCACAGTCACTAGTCACCCCCCTCACTGTCACTAGTCACCCCCCCACTGTCACTAGTCACCCACCTACTGTGTTACTAGTCACCCCCGTCACTGTCACTAGTCACCCACCTACTGTGTTACTAGTCACCCCCCTACTGTCACTAGTCACCCCCCCCCACTGTGTCACTAGTAACCCCTTCCCTCACTCACTCTGTCACCCCTTCCCTCCCTTACTCTGTCACTAGTCACCCACTCACTCTAGACAGAGTGAGGGAGAGGGTGACTAGTGACAGAGGGAGGAGGTGACTGGTGACAGAGTGAAGGAGGGGATGACTAGTGACAGAGGGAGGGATGGGGTGACACAGTGACAGAGGGAGGGATGGGGTGACACAGTGACAGAGGGAGGGATGGGGTGACACAGTGACAGAGGGAGGGGGTGACTAGTGAGAGTGCGGGAGTGGGTGACTAGTGACAGAGGGAAGGATGGGTTGACTAGTGACAGTCACCACCTCCCTCACTCTGTCACTAGTCACCACCTCCCTCACTCTGTCACCAGTCATCCCCTCACTCTGTCACTAGTCACGCCTTCCTTCCCTCACTCTGCCACTAGTCACCCCATCACTCTAGTGACAGAGTGAGGGAGGGTGTGACTAGTGACAGTTAGGCAGGGAAGGGGTGACTAGTGACAAAGGGAGGGGTGACTAGGGACAGAGTGAGGGAGGTGGTGACTAGTGACAGTCACCACCTCCCTCACTCTGACACTAGTCACCACCTCCCTCCATCACTGTGTCACCCCCTCCCTCACTCTGTCACCAGTCATCCCCTTACTCTGTCACTAGTCACCCCTCCCTTCCCTCACTCTACCACTAGTCACCCCTTCCCTCACTCTATCACCTGTCACCCCCTCACTCTGTCACTAGTCACCCCCTCACTCTAGTGACAGAGAGAGGGAGGGTGTGACTAGTGACAGTGAGTAAGGGTGTGACTAGTGACAGTGAGTAAGGGTGTGACTAGTGACAGAGAGAGGGAGGGTGTGACTAGTGACAGAGTGAGGGAGGGAAGGGGTGACTAGTGAGAGTGAGGGAGGTGGTGATTAGTGACAGAGGGAGGAATGGGGTGACTATCACTGTGTCACCCCCTTCCTCACTCTGTCACTAGTCACCCACTCCCTCCCTCACTCGGTCACTAGTCACCCCCTCTGTCACCAGTCATTCCCTCACTCTGTCACCAGTCATCCCTTCCTTCCCTCACTCTGCCACTAGTCATCCCTTCCCTCACTCTGTCACCAGTCATCTCCTCACTCTATCACCAGTCACCCCTTCCTTCCTTCACAGTGACAGAGTTAGGGAGGGAGTGACTAGTGACAGAGAGAGGGATGGGGTGACTAGTGACAGAGTGTGGAAGAGGGTGACTAGGGACAGAGGGGGTGATTAGTGACAGAGTGAGGGAGGGGGTGACTAGTGACAGAGTGAGGGAGCGGGTGACACAGTGACAGAGTTAGGGAGGGAGTGACTAGTGACAGTCACCCCCTCCCTCCCTCTGTCACTAGTCAATCCCTCCCTCTGTTACTAGTCACTCCCTCACTCTGTCACCAGTCATCCCCTCACTGTGTCACCAGTCACCCCTTCCCTCCCTCACTCTGCCACTAGTCATCTTTTCCCTCCCTCACTCTGCCACTAGTCATCTTTTCCCTCCCTCACTCTGCCACTAGTCACCCATTCCCTAACTCTGTCACTAGTCACCCCCTCTCCCTCCCTATGTCACTAGTCACCCCCACTCCCTGTGTCTCCCCCTCACTCTGCCACCACTCAACCCCTCCCTCCCTCACTCTGCCACCAGGTACCCCCTCACTCTGCCACCTGTCACAACCTCCCACACTCTTCCACCTGTCACCTTCTCCCTCACACACTGTCACCTGTCACATATGCATTCACACAGACACTATATACAAAAAAGCACATGTAGTCATCCCGACATTCACACAGACTCAAATACAAACATGCATTGATACACAGGTCTTCACAATATACACATCCAAAGGAATGCTGTATTATGAGTTATATTTAACATTTATTTAATGCACATATATTTGGCCTTCAAAGGGCCTGGGATCTAATTTTGCCCGGGGGCCCCAAAGGCTCTCAGTCCGCCCCTGGCTTCACTCCCACCTTGTTTGATTGCTATCTCCTGTCCTTTTGTGTTTTACAACCCACTTCCTATAGACTGTAAGCTTGTTTGAGCAGGGTCCTCTTCGACCTATTGTTCCTGTAAGTTTTTGTAATGATCTCATTTATTGTTAAATCTCCCCCTCTGATTGTAAAGCCCTACGGAATATGCTGGCACTATATAAATACCAGGAATAATAATAATATATAGAATGTATTACATATGTAAGTGGAGACAATAAGACAATGAGACACAGGAACTAAAATCATCAAAGGCCAAATATTGACGAGACCGAAAACCGAAGGAGGATTGGCAGTTCCGGTAGTTCAACTCTATTACAGAGCTTCCCACTTACAGAGAATATTAGAGCGGGTCAAAGATAGTGTCATCAAACCGTGGAAGGAGATAGAACAAACTCAAACATGAAGCTCCCTGAAAGTTTTTACCTGGATGAACCCAACTGAGAGTAGGCGACTATCACACCACCAACCACTTGCTAAGGCTACCATGGATATATGGCATAGGGCGGCACTGAAAATGGGCCTCTCCACTTTCCCCTCCCCCCCTATGTCCACTCACACATAACCTGGTATTTACCCCGGGAATGGAACAGTTTGCGTTTGCATGCTTGCTACCACACACACACACACATCTCCAGACCAGACATTTGATGGTAAAGGACAAGATCAGACCTCTTAGTGACAAGCACAAGCACCTTATTTCTACACAGAGTGAAATATGAACAATTACGACGATTTATAAGTAATATCCCACAGAAGCCTGACCTCTGTAGGACACTGACTCCATTTGAACTATTAGGCTATAACTCAGACCCACTCTCACATGCAGTTTTCCACATTTACTCCCTGCTCCTACAAAACAGGAACCTCCCATCGCCTCCATACATGGGCAAATGGAAAAACATGATTGGCAATACCTTTACTGAACAATAACAGGACAAGATTTGTGATTTGGTCCACTACTGTGAGCTAGCAAGTAAAACCCAAGAGACAGCTTACAAGGTTTTGTCACTATGGTACAGGACTCCACAGCTTCCTCGGCATATGAACCTAGATCTGAGTGACCGATGCTGGCGATGCCACATTTGGTGGGATTGCCCTAAAATCGTACCTTATTGGCGAGCAATAAGTAAGGTCTTACAAAGGTTCTCAGACAATATCCCCTCCATTCAGACCTGCCCCCTACCTCTTACATCACACTACAACACCGACTGCCAAATACAAGAAGCCCCTCACTGTCAGAATACTAAACACTGCAAAAACAAGCTTTACCCTTATACTGGAAGATAGACACACAGGGGCGGACTGACAGGTCGGGCAGATCGGTCATGGACCGAGGGCCCGAGTCAGTCAGGGGGCCCGGCAGCACAGTCATGCTTCTGCTGTGGAGATCAGATCAGAGATCTCCACAGCAGAAGTAAGAAAGCGCTGTAAGAAGGTTGCAGGGGCCCATAATGACTCTAAGGGCCCCTGTAACCCATCAATCTGCAAATACCCCCCCCCCCCATTCAGTGAGAGACCTGGCAGCACA